TACTCAATATTTAGCAATTAGCAAATAATACTCTAATCCTATTCCCTCAAGCCAAAGTTAGATCAAACACTTACCTCGAATGCTCCAAACTCAACTCAAGCCTCTAGTATAGCTTTACCCCTCGAATTCGGCTCCAACTCAGGCAAATCTATGAAATAATGACTTTACAATATTAATAATAGCTAAACAAACTAAACCCAATGCCTAAATATAAATTCTAAGCTTTCTTCCCAAAATTCCAAAAATCGACCCCGGGCCCGCTTGGTCAAAATACGAGGTTCGAACCAATTCCATGGTACCCATTCCCGTACGAGCCCGGATATACAATTTATTTTCAAATTCAACCCCAAAACGAGGTCTAAATCAAAGAAAATCGAAAAGCCCTAACTCTACCCTTTTCCCCCAATTTCAACCCTAGATTACATGAATTAGGTTTAGAAACTCATTAATTAATGAAGGAAGATGAAGGAAATGAGTGGGAATTTACTTACCCAAGAAGCGTTGGTGAAGAAGTGCTCAAAAATTCGCTCAAGAGCTGTGGAGAAGAAGAACTCGTGTGAAATATGGACTAAATCCCGTCACTGTTCTGTTTTGGGGTATTTAAAATCACTAGGCAAAAATGCCCTTCGCGTTCGCGGGAAGGGGGCCGCCTTCGCGAAGGGTAAATGGGTCAAGGCATCGCGAGCGCGAGATGGTAGCGTAGAAGAATGGGATGGGGTCCGGGATTTGGTTATATGCGAACGCGATAGGGTACTCGCGAACGCGGTGAAGGGGGAGGCTGAACTATGCGAACGCGGGGACTACTACGCAAACGCGAAGAAGGGGGGAGCCCACAGGTATGCGAACGCGAGCTGAAGGCCGCGAACGCGAAGAAGCAAAATACTGTGCAAGAATTGCAGATAATCTGCTATCACCCTAAGTCCAAAACCACCCCGAACACCTCCGAAAACACTCCCGAGCCCTCGGGGCTCCTAACCAAGCACATACACTAACTCAACAACACCCTACGAACTTAACCGTGCGATTAAATCGCCACAATAACATCATAAACGAGGAATCAAACCTCAAAATCATCACTTTTTCATCAAACTTCTTAAACTTTCGTTTTAGATATTTAGGTCCGAAACACGTCAAACGACGTCCGATTTCGACCAAATTTCACAGGAAGCGCTTAAACCACATATAAGACCTGTACCGGGCGCCGGAACCAAAATACGGGCCCGATACCAACGCTTTCTAATCCATTTTCATTTCAAATTTCCATATAAATTTCAGAAAAATAATTTCTTTTAAAAATTCATTTCTCGGGTTCGGGACCTCGGATTTCGATTCCGGGAATACGCCCGAGTCCCATATTTTTCTACGGACCCTCCAGGACCGTCGAATTACGGGTCCGGGTCCGTTTACCCAAAATGTTGACCAAAGTCAATTTTAATCATATTAATATCAAAATTCATCAATTTTTACACAGAATTCACAATTAAGCTTTCCGGCTACGCGCCCGGACTGCGCACGCAAATCGAGGCAAGTAAAAATGAGATTTTCAAGGCCTCGGAAGCACGGAATGAAAGAGAAAACAGGTGATGACCCTTTGGGTCGTCACATTCTCCACCTCTAAAACAACCGTTCGTCCTCGAACGGACAAAAGAAAGAAGTACCTGAGTCGGGAAATAGATGAGGATAACGGCTCCGCATATCAGACTCAGACTCCCAGGTCGATGCCTCAAGAGGCTGACCTCTCCACTGGACACGCACTGAAGGAAAACTGTTCGACCTCAACTGTCGAACCTGCCGGTCTAGAATAGCTACCGGCTCCTCCTCATAAGACAGATCCTTGTCCAACTAGATAGTGCTGAAATCTAACACGTGGGCTGGATCGCCGTGATACCTCCAAAGCATGGACATATGAAACACTGGACGCACGGCTGACAAGCTAGGCGGCAAGGCAAGTCTATAAGCCACCTCTCCCACACGATCGAGAATCTCAAATGGTCCAATGAACCTAGGGCTAAGCTTGCCCTTCTTCCCAAACCTCATCACCCCCTTCATAGGCGACACTCGGAGCAAGACCCGACACCAACCATGAAAGCTACATCCCGAACCTTATGATCTGCATAACTCTTTTGCCGCGACTGAGCCGAACGAAGCCTGTCCTGAATGATCTTGACCTTATCCAAGGCCTCCTGAACTAAGTCTGTACCCAATAAACGAGCCTCTCCCGGCTCAAACCATCCCACTGGAGACCGACATCGCCTACCATACAACGCCTCATATGGGGCCATCTGAATGCTGGACTGGTAGCTGTTGTTGTAGGCAAACTCTGCTAAAGGCAAAAACTGGTCCCACGAGCCTCCAAAATCAATGACACAGGCTCGGAGCATATCCTCCAATATCTGAATGGTCCTCTCGGACTGACCGTCCGTCTGGGGATGAAATGCTGTACTCAACTCAACCTGGGTGCCCAACTCTTGCTGGACCGCTCTCCAGAACGCGAGGTACATCTCGGCTAACCTCTCGGATGAATAGGAGACTGCCACATGAATGATATGTGCAGACTTGGTCAGACTATCAACAATAACCCATATCGTATCGAACTTCTTCCGAGTCAACGGAACTCCGGTAACAAAATCCATGGTAATCCTCTCCCAGTTCCACTCGGGAAGCTCAATCCTCTGAAACAAACCACCAGGCCTCTGATGCTCATACTTAACCTGCTGACAGTTCAAACATCGAGCCACATATGCAACAATATCTTTCTTCATCCTACGCCACCAATAATGCTGCCGCAAGTCCTGATACATCTTCGCGGCGCCCGGGTGAATAGAATACCGAGAACTATGGGCCTCCGCTAAGATCAACTCTCGAATCCCATCGACATTGGGCACACAAACTCGCTCATGCAATCTCAAAACACCATCATCATCTAAGGTCACCTTCGTGGCACCTCCACGTTGCACCGTGTCTCTCAGGACACACAAATGGGGATCATCAAACTGCCAATCACGGATACGCTCCAATAATGAAGAACGAGCAATCGTGCAAGCTAACACTCTGCTGGGCTCAGAAATATCCAACCTCACAAATTCATTGGCCAAGGCCTGAATATCCAAAGCAAGCGGACACTGGCTGGCCGGAATATAAGCAAGACTACCCATGCTGGCGGACTTCCTACTCAATGCATCAGCCACCACATTGGCTTTCCCGGGTGGTACAAGATAGTAACATCATAATCTTTTAATAACTCCAACCACCTCCTCTGCCTCAAATTCAACTCCTTTTGCTTGAACAAGTATTGAAGACTCTTGTGATTAGTGTACATCTCACACCTCACACCATATAGATAATGCCTCCAAATCTTCAAAGCATGAACGATGGCTGCCAACTCTAGATCATGAACCGGATAATTCTTCTCGTGGATCTTCAACTGCCTCGAAGCATAGGCTATGACTCTGCCATCCTCCATCAATACTGCACCAAGCCCAATACGGGAAGCATCACAATAGACTGTATAAGGCCCTGAACCTGTGGGCAAAACCAATACCGGTGCCGTAGTCAGAGCTGCCTTGAGCTTCTGAAAGCTCGCCTCACACTCATCTAACCATCTGAACTGGGCACCCTTCTAGGTCAATCTGGTCATCGGGGCTGCAATAGATGAAAACCCCTCCACGAAGCGACGATAGTAGCCCGCTAACCCCAAGAAACTCCGAATCTCTGTAGCTGATGCTGGTCGAGGCCAGTTCTTGACCACCTCTATCTTTGGGTCCACCTGAATACCCTCTGCTGATACAACGTGACCCAGAAATGCAACCGAACTCAACCAGAACTCACACTTGGAGAACTTGGCATATAACTGACTATCCCTCAGATTCTGAAGAACCACCCTAAGGTGCTGCTCGTGCTNAAAAAAAAAAAAAAAAAAAAAAAAATGATCGATAACACAATGTTGCTTGATGACCCATTCAAAGATAACGTCAATAGCATTTATCAAACAATGTAATAGACATATCAGACTAGTCTTTGCTTTCAGAATGCATTTGTTTTGCTCTCTTTTTGTTTTTGGCTTTTCCAAGTATTAGATTTATCATCACGCACATATTATATTTCTCTAAAGAGAAAGCAAAATTTTTAGAACACCACCTACAAACATCATGCTATAGTAATGTAACATACGCAACATTCCAGTAAAAATATATTAGCCCTCCATCTTGCACCATTCAAGAAACAATCGTAGACTGATTAATTAATCGTCACCAGTTATGATTTTCAATGACCGCGGAATGTCCTAGCAAGGTTAATAATTCAGCGTACAACCATTCATCAGTCTTGTTTAACACTTTTTTATTTTAGGTAAACACTACAGAATGAATAAGGTTATATAACCGGAAGAATAAATTAAAGTAAAAGAAAAACAGAAGCCACTACAGATATAGATGTAATACACCATGAAAGTAAGATATTAGATATACTGGTATTTTCATTAAAATCTTCTATAGATACATAATGAAATTTTGTAACTGCAACTTTGAAACTTCAAAGTTTTTATAGATAATTCAATTTGTAGTAATTAACTGCAAAGCTTACTTAGAAAAGGTACCAATGAAGAGCGTAGAAGCTAAAAAAGGCAGGAAGCACGGAAAACAAACCTAAATGAGGATCTCAGGCAATAGGAATCTCAGAAGAAAAAGCAGAGGATTAGCCAAGCAGATAGAGAAAGAAGAAATTACATAAATAAATAATTCAATCACTCTTTACAAAAAAGCAATCATATTAGATAGAGATCAAGATGAAGTTGAGATAAAAACAAATGGAAGATGAAAATACCTGTTGGTTAACATTTAGAGATACAAATAAAGTATATTCTGCTGAGGAATCATCCACTCCAGAACAAAAGACAGAGAATTGTCTTGTAGTAAGAAATATCACATGATTGCCTTTTGAATGATTTCATCGTAAACTATGTTACGGGTAGAATGATCATCATCGCTAGTCGGAGTGGGAGGTCAAATCGACAATTTCACACATTTCGAACTCTTTGCTCTATATAAGGCAACATGAAGTTGGCCATGGGAAAATAGAGGTTCACGCAAATAAATTCCCACAAAATCTAATGTCTGACCCTGCGCTTTATTTATAGTCATAGCAAAGCATAATCTGACTGGGAATTGTGTTCTCTTGAATTGAACAGGCAATTTTTCATCATTTGATGATAACAATGGTATTCTTGGAATAAATACATGCGTATTCTTGAAATCATCCGCTGCAATCTTAGCACTTAGAACATGAGTTTTAAATTCACAACAATTTAATCGCGTGCCATTGCATAAATCTTCATATGGATTTAAGTTTCGTAATAATATAATTGGACAATTCTTTTTCAAAGATAATATGTACGGAGGCAAACCTGCAGGGTTTAAAGTATGCAATAGATCTTCAAATGGTGATTGATTGTCAGATTCAATGGTCTCATCAATACCAACAAATGTTCTTGCTTTTCCTGAAAATTGATCAATAAACATATCATTGATTTCATCGACAAAATTATGTTTTGTTGTCAAAATTACACGGGAGTCTGTACAAGAAGCGTCATAACCAGATGAATTCAAATATGGATATGTCACTGTGAATAGTTTATCTAAAGATTCTCTTTCAGTTGTGAAATGCACAATTAAAGAATTTGGTACTTCAATGTTGTTTGTTGCGTTAACACGTTCTTGTCCATTCCCAATTCTTAGCAAATAATCACAGAACGCAGGATTTGTTTTTGCCCTCATATTCTCAGATAATTGTATTTTTTCTTGCTTGTCCCAAATGCTGGAATATAACAAACTTTGATTAATGAAATCTTCCTTTTTTCCATTTCTCACAACGGGAAGAGTTTGTCTAAAATCACCCCCATAAACAACTACTTTTCCACCGAATAATACATTTGTATCCATGAGATCTTTTAGTAGCAAATGAAAAACTTCTAGCATTCTTTTATTTGCCATAGATGCCTCATCCCATACAATCAATTTTGCGTCGCGAATTAAACTCGCAAGTGCGCTTTGCTTACTAATATTGCAGCTGACATTCTCGTCAATATCAATAGGAATTTTAAAGCGTGAATGTGCAGTACGCCCACCAGGGAGAATAGAAGCAGTGACACCAGAAGTCGTAGTTGCCAAAGCGATATATCCCATAGACCGTACAGTTGCTAGTAAAGCACAGTATAAGAAAGTTTTTCCAGTTCCTCCTGGACCGTCAATGAAAAATGCGCCCGCCACGCCACTATCAGAGTTGGTCAAATACGGCACCGGGTGCCAGCCACGCCTCCCCAGGTTTGGGGCGTGACAGGATAAGTGAAAAGCGGTTCGAAGTAGAACGTAAATGCTTTACATTTCCATTGTAGTTTGACAGTAGTAATGAACCAAAAGTCCCTTGTGTCTCTTGTTCCTCTGAACACGGTATTCTCATTTGCTTGCAACTATCTCAAAGTTCTCATTTCACTCTCTACTTCATGCATGCACTAAACACTTATTCTGTGTTTCCTTGGATTTTACACCTTAGCCTGCATTCATCATCCCTGGAAGATATTCCTCCACTAATTAATAATATCACAATTATCATCCAACGTCTTATTTTAATTATTTGTGTAGGTCTGAAGGAATATTCATATTGGAGCAAATCCAGCTCTTACATTTGAATCATCCACAGTCGTTGTTCATTCAAAATTTCCATATCAAGCAATGAGCTTGAGATGAATTCTACGATGCAATAGGTGACGAGTCCTCATCATCAGATGAAGATAGAAGTTTGTCATTTCTCGTGTTCCTCCATCGATCAAAAGCGGTGGATTATTTCCGGAGACTGCCCGCTTCAATTACCTTGCCTTTGAGCCCTTTATTTATTTACCTCTTTGACAGGACAAAAAAGTCAAGCTAAAAAATGTTTCGCAAGCTTGGCTTTAAAGAGGACATCAGGTATATATTAAATGTCATTCTTCTCATCCTGATTAGTTTTTTTCTCCACCCCTACATTTCTTGCTTTGGTGTATCGTATGTGGAGTAGTTCTCATCAATTACTCTAAATACGGAGCAGATCATGAATGAGTTACTTGAGATGCTACTTCTGAAGAACTTTAGTCCTTATTTTCAGGGACCAATTAAAATTAAACACGAAACATGTTTTTAACTCAAAAGAATCTCCATAAAATTAAAGGGGCTTTAACATTTGCGACAGATGTGCATGCTCTCTGTGAAAAGGAAGTGAAGATGTCAACCATCTGTTCTTCTGCTGCAGTTTCACTTCCCAACTGTGGAATGTAATGTTCAGTGTCTTGGGTCTTAGTTGAGCAATTCCTAGAACAGTCAACAACTCCTCTCCTCTGCCAGTACAGGAAAGGTTACTTGAACATTGGTTTGGAACACAATCCCTACGCAATGCTGCAAATATATTAGATTCTTGGACTGGATTTATCATATTCTCAACAACAAACTTAGATAGTTAACTGAATTACACTGAATTGTGCGTAGAATTTCAAGGTACTTTAAATCTATAATTCTACAGGGTACTTGGATAACAGAATGTAAATAAGACTCAAAACATGTCCTTGAGATCCATCCGCTTACTCATTCCCAAATACTTGTCCAATTTCCGCAAAAACTCACCAAAATAGAACGCTACTTGCCTAGGCGAACTGCTAGAGTGAATGCTTTTAATCTTCTATTCAATCCGGCGAGCATAGTCAATAGACGGAGCCCCAAACTCCAAGATTTTCTCTAAACTTTCAAGACTGTCCCTCATAAATGTTTCACTACAGCATGAAGCAATAAAATCACATAGAACCTCTATGCAGGAGATATCCACCAAGTACCTAAAGCCAAAAGCACAAGGATACAGAGACATTTACTAAAAATATCAACGATGTCAGAGAGATCATCACCCCGAAAAAGAGGTTACATACTTGATCTGAGCATCATTCCCACTGGCAATAGCAATATTAATTGTTGCGGCAGCAACATAAATGATTTCTTCTACTCGATCAGGGTCTGACTTACCAACCTTCAGAGTTTGAATCAAATTGACCAGTTTTTTCATAAATCCATCCGCAATCACAGCCTGCTCACAATTACAAACTATTCAGATAAATGGCTATAGTTGTTTAACCAAAAAAATAGATTTTTAGTCAAAGCTAGAAATTAGAAGAATCGGGTTACTGATAATCGAAAAAGTAAATAAAGAAAGAAATTTTAGAATAGCCAAGCATGAAAGCTGGTAAATCAAAGTATATTCCAATAGTCACCTCCCCCAACAATTGTTTGTTTCTTTCCTTTTTATAGCTCTTTTGGGATACGAGCCTTACCTTTATCATAATAATGCTATTATGGACAATTAATGACTTTAAATGTTACGTTATACAATCATATACATTAAATACATATTTTCTAACGTTTCCTATAATTAATACTCATTAAATGCTATATCTGGGCTCCTTTTTGCTGTCAGATTCATTCTTCACTATCTTTGAGTTTTAAATGTCTTGAATAGGTACGAGTGTTGAATTACTTGTATGACTGCTCGCACCCCCTCCATTTAATTTACTCGTATCTATTGTTGCTCGTATCTGTTGTTGCTCGTATCTGTTAACCAACCTTATTTCTTTGACTGTTTGACCAGTCTATATGTCATGACACGTCGCCATATACATAAATATAATTTTTCTCAATACAGATAGTCCCCCCACTTTCCATTTATTCATCAGTTTGAATATTTGGGAAGTGGAATTCATTAAGGGAGAATTTTTGTCACCATTAATGCTCTGACAGAGTTTGACGCTTCACTTATTACTTTCATTTAATGCGCTAGACACGTGTCATCCTCTTATTGGTCATACAATTGTACAACGCTTTCTTAGGCTTTCTTTTTGGCTTCCCTGTCCACGAAGTGTCAGTTATCATTATTATGGACTTTCCATCACTATACTCTTTCCTTCTGACGGTCATTCATTAGTATAAATATAACTTCCATCTTTGTCTTCTACCATTTAAAGCGTATTGAACACTTTAATTTTCAAAACTTTTATTCACTTCAATCTTCTTTGTCATGGCTTCTCCGAACCCTAACCTTAGAAGAACTCCTATTTTAGACAGCTTTCCCAATGCTCCCATTAGGCATAGAAGAGGTGGTGGTGGTAGACTCCGTAGTTTAGGATCTGTCCGTGGTGGTAGTTCACTCACACCTTCTTCTAGTTCTGGCCCTTCTTCTAGAACTGGAGGTTCCCATTCTCAAAGGTTTTCTTCCAGAAACAAAGAATCCTCTGAACCCTTACGCGAACCTTTAGTGGAAGAAATAGTTCCAACGGACTTATCTTTTTACCATGACAGGCAATCTCTCAGAACTCAAGTCGCCTCTTTAAATTGAGTTGATACTTATCCTTCTCAAATTACTGACCCTTTAATCCCGATAGTTCGTAGAGATTGTTATTGGAGTGATGATTTCCCTATCATCATTCCTAATCCAAATCAGAGAATCACCTCCTGCATTACTGGATTTTCTTTTGTTTATACGTATCCCTTTACTTTAGGATTTAAACCAGCCGTTGATCCAGTTATTTTGGATTTTTGTCGCTTTTTTAATGTTAGCTTGGGTCAAATTGGCCCAATCGTTTGGAGGGCAGTCGCCTGCTTAAGGCACCTCACTAACTTGGCGGATGCCGAATTTACTTTTCCCCACCTATTCATCTCTATTCCCCTAGGCTTTTTTGCAATGGCGTTTTTACCCTAGTAGCCAGGAGCAAGAGGGTTTTAGTGAGCCCCGAGGACGATAAAGACCGTGGCTGGTATGCCCGGTTTGTTGCTGCCCCCACTGCTGGTTTAGTGGGTGAAAATAACGTTCCCTTCCCCGAGAAGTGGAACTTTGCACGTAAGTGTTAAATCTTCCTCGTGCCTTTCCCTTTCAGGTTTTATCACCTTTTCTAATGTCGCTTCTTTTTCCTTTCTCAGCAACCATGGGCGTTGTGGAAACCGTGCCCAACTTCCGTGGTTGGGTAGGAAAATTGTTGAAGGCCGCTCCAATGGAGGGTAGGTCGTGGAAAAACCTTTCCAGCCGTTATGGTTGGAAAGTAAAAACTCATGGTAAGGGTTTCTATTTTACCTTGTATGTATCTAAATATCTTCTTTGTTCTAACTTTTATCCTTCTTTTTATCAGGATTTGCTATTCGTGGGGTCACCGCAGAGTCAATCATAGCTGCTCGTGACTCTTTGAGTACTCGCACCTCTTCAGCCCAAGATGTATTCTTGGGTTCTTCAAAAAGAAAAACTACTGAAACTGAAGAAGAAGATTCAGAGGAGGAAGATGAAGGTTCCCTGGTGATGAGACCTCGAGCCCGAAGACGTATCGTCTCTGATGATGAGGCTGAAGTTTCCCCTCATCTATCTCCCTCCAAGTCTGTTATTACTCCAGTTATCATTCCTGATGATGACGTCTCTCCTCACGACACTCGTGAGTCTATCGATCAACTTTTTGCTAGTGGTTTTGGTAGTGAAAACTTAGGACCTATTCTAGATGAAATTCCCTTATCTTCTTCTTCATCTCCCGTAGCTATGATTGCTCCTTTACCTTCATCAACTGTTGCTTCTGTTCCTCCTTCTATCGCTCCTCCTTTGTCTGTTCCTCCATCTATCGTTCACCATACGGAGGTGGGCTCTTCAAGCAAGAGTACTACTATGAGGAGTGTAACCATTGAAGTTCCTGCTAACAACAGCCTCTTGAGAAAGTCTGGTCAGGCTGATATTTGGCTCGAGCCTTTGATTGGCCCCATTGAAAAAACAAAACTTGAAAGCCACAGCAACCTGACCCTCATGAATGACATAGTGCATGCCACTTTAAAGGTATTCTTCTTTCCTACTTTTCTCCATCCTGTAAAAATTTTCGACTCTGGGATTTTTACTTCTCTTTTATTTGTAGGCCAATCTTATTGGTACTGAGCTGATTAGCAGAATCTCCCTCTTGGAGAAGGTAGCACGTGATTCTCAGTTTGAGGCAAACAACTGGAAGGAATAGTTTGGCAGTGTTCAACTTAACATGGAGGATTTACAAGAGAGCAAGAGTACCTTAGAACAACAGGTTCGAGCACTCACTTCCGAGTTGGGGGTCATCAAGGCTTCGTTGAATCAGGGGGAAAAAGAAAGAGAACGTCTTGAGTCTTCATTTTGTGAACAGTTATCCAGGGCCAGTGAAGAAATCAGGGCGTTGAAGGATCTTTTGAACCAAAAAGAAATTTATGCTGGGGAGTTAGTTCAGAATTTGACTAAGGCACAGGAAGATCTTCGTGCCTCTATGGCTAATATGCATGTTTTGGAGAATTCTCATGCCACCCTTCAATCTTCTTATAATTCTGTATTAGCCGAGAATGAAGGACTCAAGAATGCGGTCGCTGCTTGGGAAAGGGATTATGAAATCCTTGAGGAAAAAACTGATGTTGAGGTGAGTTGGGCCTTCCTAAATTCTCATCGTGACACCTTACTAGAAATGGGTCAAGAGAACTTCAACCTTGAATCAGAATTAGCCAAAGTGAATGAAACCATCGCACGAACTCAACAAACACAAGATTTTCATCTCCCGAGGTTGAAGTTCCCGTGGTTGAAACTCCCGTTGTTGAAGCCTCTGTGAATGCTGAAATTGCTTCGGATGCTGTACCTTCTTCAAGCTCAACTGTGCCCCTTGCTGCAAGCCAAGCTGAGATCTCGTCTGTAGATGTTGTTCCAGTTGAGCCCGCTGACGATCCTTCCTCAGTTCTTTCTTCTTAATGAAAATTATTTTAATTTGCTTTAAATTCCCTTTTTTGCAGGTACCAATCTGGAAAACTATGTTTAAGGTTTTTGGTTTCTTGTGATTGTTTTTTTTTGTTGTAGTCAAACCCCTGCTTATCAGTTAAGGTTTGATTTTAAAAGTTCAAGTCCCCAAGTTTTGTTTAAGGGGCATTTTTTTTGTATGAACAGTTCGATGACTAAGTTTATACTTAGTCTTTAGTTTTAAAATATTAAGAAGTTTGTCTTTAAACTTCCATCTGTTCTATTCGTGCCTTTTATTTTCAAGGACTTAAAGAATAGTCTGCATTTTTATTCTTTGAAAATGCTTTCATTAAACTCATCACTAAATAACATGAGTTTTATAAAAGAGGACCCTTTTATATTTTGACACTTAATGAAGAAGACGTCTCAACTTCATAATGGTGTGATCATACGATAAAAGAAATAGGAACACACATGTTTTTTGCAATAACTTCGAGAAATTATTAATTCTGAACTTTGACAAGTTTTGAGTAATACTTTACATGTGCTTGAATTACATCTATAACTTTCTCGTAACTATTTTTTCTTGTAACAGATTTTTTAATAAAAAATAACAAATGCGCAGTTTTTCTTTATAACCCGTTTTAGAACAATAAATGCAAGGTTTTTCTTTACAACCTGCTTTAGTACACAGCTTTTACCCTAATTACAGTAAGGATTTCTTTAGCCTTGGCTCGTGACTTCATTTGACTTTTATTACTCTGCACTTGACTTTTTCCCAGGCTTGATTTTTCTTCAATCTTCTCTGTCCTCTTTATATATACTTGTGTATATTATGTAGTCCCCCAAGTGTCTGAGTGTTGAAGTATGAAGCCTCGAGCACTTGATAGTTTCTCTCATTTGGTCCTTTTCCTGAAAAGGAAATACATACGGGACTCGGAGGCACGATTATAGATGAAGACTGCTTAACCCGTTTAAATTTCTATCAGAATAATTGTAACCCTGGGCCAGGAATTTTAGTTTATTTCACTTTGCCTTACAGGTCGTGACTCATCATTTAGTACGGGTTAGCGTTTTGCCTATCATCTAAAATCGTTAGTAAAATTTTAACAATTCAAAAACAAATATAATTTAACATGGTGATACCTGACCATGGGTTTTTCCTTAGAAGTAGTATCTCTTCAAATGAACTGCATTCCAATGCGAAGGAAGCACCTTCCCGTCCATTGTTTCGAACTCGTATGCTTCTTTTCCTACAATATCTCGAACTCTGTAGGGTCCTTCCCAGGTTGGACTTAGTTTACCCGCGTTGGCCGCCTTTGTAG